TCAATCTATTACAGTCGATGTTTATTGCAACCACTGGATGAAAGGATAAGGATACTTGTGATTAAACAGCTGATATTGGTGAATAGAGACAGGCCAATCCTCTTGCAAGACCACATATCACAAAAAAACAGCACTGCTCAAACTACAGAAGCTGGACTTGGCAACTCTCTGTCATCCACCATATTCACCAGACCTTGCACCAACTGACTTCCACTTCTTCCAAGCTTTGGATTACTTCTTGCAAGGAAAAATATTCAATTCTCAACAAGCTGTAGAAAACACTTTTTGCAATTTCATCTCCACTCGCTTGCCAGGCTTCTTTGCTGTTGGCATAAACAAGCTACCATTAACATGGCAAACCTGTGTTGATAGCTTAGGCACATACTCTGATTAATTGTAGTGCTTGTGGTTTGAGATATAATAAACTATACATTTGATTCAAAATTAGACATTTCATATTTAATGACCTAAATATCTATACAATGGGATACTATACATCCATAAAAAAGAAAAAAATTCTGTTATTTGCAACAACATGGATGCAACTTGAGGACATTATGCTAGGTAAAATATGTCAGGCACAGAAGGACAGATCTGGCATGATTTTACTTACAAGTGGAATCGAAAAAAGTCCATCTCATAGAAACAGACAGTAGAATCATGGTCACCAGAGGCTGTGGGGTTGAGTGATGATCAAAGGATAAAAAACATCAGTTAGAATGGAGGAATAAGTTTTAGTAATTTGTTGCACTACATGGTGATCACAGTAATAATGTACATTTCAAAATTGCTAAAATAGATGTTTATGGTATTCATCACAAAAAAAGTGATACATTGGTGAGGTGACAGGTATGTTGATTGGGTTCAATGAATTTCTCTATTATGTATATATAGATCAAAACATCATCTTTACCCCACAAGCATACATAATTATATCTCAATTAAAAATAAGTTTAGGACTCCTCCAAGATGGCGAATGAGAAAAGCTGCCAGCCAGAGTGTCTGCAAAAAATACAGATTTTAGAAGAAAATGAAAAAAAAATAAATAAATAAATAATCAGAAAAACATAGATCAGATGAGGGTTGGAAGGAAGGGTGCCTGAAACTATAGGAGACTCCACGGGAAGATGTTGTGGAGCAGAACTGGAAGGAAAAAGGCGTTGGCAGGGTCTAAGCCTGAGAGGCTTGGAGAGCAGTGACAAGGGCAGGAAAGGAACAACTGATCCAGATGGGAATGAACCAGTGAAAGAACTCTGGAAGCATGAAGAATCAAATGTAAAGCACACCCACAAAGAGGAACACCAGCTCTCTAGCAATGGACATCAATCAAACTCAAAACACTAAAATGACAGAAGAAGAATTTCAAACATGGATTGTAAGAAAACTCATATGTAAGAAAAAATGGATAACCAACACAAAGAAACTACAAAAAAAAAAAAATCCAGGACTTGGAAGAAAAAT